CAATTAGTGTATCGATTGTTGGGTGAGTGAGTTGGGTTTGAACGCTGTGTTGAACAGCACTTCAGTTCTGGCACATCTGCACCACGTAAGAGGGATGCCCGAAGTCATGCACGTCTTAATGTTTGCCATGCTGGTGAAACTTACTAACACGAACACGAATTTGGTGTTGACAAACCTAGAAGCGTAAGGGCAAATATGGGCTTCGAACTCACGATCATGCATCTGTGGACGACATCGGCTTGCACAGCGATGAGGGGGTACCTGCACGACATGGCTTCTCAATATCCCGTGTGCTTTAAAGAGTCTAATGATGAGGATCAGTTGGTCACAATGTCTCACCACGTGTCATTGAGCAGCAAATGTGTAAATAATTGATCTTGCTGTCGCTCCATAGCACTACCTAACCAAAACCCGATTGTTAAGTAGGCCGCTGCAATGTACCCGGTATATTTCTGACTGCAGCACACAGCATTACTCATTCTTATAACAGAAAAAATTATTCCATTTACACTCTCGTTCTAGTATTCAGTCAGAACACAAACACATTGTTCAATATTTGTCTACTCATGAGTTTAAGTCCCTAGTGAAATGCAAAGATTCAACACGTACAAGTTTGTTGCTCAGCGACACACTCCAGTTACATGACATTTAGTCTTGACCAGACAATCCAGTGATCGACAACATCGCCATCGGTCTAAGCAACTGGGATACGATGACATGTGTCAACCAGGTACGCGAGCTTGACCACCCGATCCCGTTAGTGGCCACTTTCGACAAGCATGGGTTGCGGAAGATCAATTCTAACCCGGATCTTCATGTATTTTTCGTGCATTATGCTGATGTACTATTGGCTGCAAGAGTCATGAACGAAGTATGTCTAGGGTCGCGTACTACCTTTTGATATTTAATATTTCCATTTAATATTTTCAAATAACTGGACAGGGAATTATAATTACTAACACGAGAGTCGTATAAAGCGATTCACTGAATATATTCATTTTTAATCATGGACCACCTTTTCGGTAAAATAATCCTCAAGAAATTAAATCCCACTCAATCTTGTTATTAAAATCTGATCAAAGGATCTCTTGAATATTGAAGATTCAATCACATTAATATGTGACGGACCATACGTTGAATAAAGTGGGGTTCATTTACTGGGCAGATTCAGTCACATTAATACTTCAGTAATTATGCTATGTACAATGTGATCGAATTAATTATGAAGATTTAGTCACACGCTCTTTTGTTCAAAGTCGACAAATGCGACAAATTTTAGCCTGGCTTCAAGGCTGTTCTGAGCGATAAGCCCATGCATGTATAGTAATTCTATCCTTTAAAGAGGCAAGTCTAGATAAGCGGACCCCAGTCTGTTATTTATATTGTTATTTAGAAATTATTATTTAAACTATTAATTATTGCCTTAGCGACTTGTGCAAGTCTAGATATATTCTAATAGCACATTATCCAACATAACACCCTAAATCACATAAATTGTGATATGAAATATAAAATGCGTGCGTCCGAGAACAATCAGTCTCGATTATCTGCTTTAATAAAACAATTCTAATAGGGCGAAAAAGGCAGAACAGTGATTAATTAAACACTTCACCAAAGAGAAGTGACAACACCGGGTGTTCACGTAAAGGATAGCATATGCTGATATACATATTAATAGAATACGTATTGAATAGGCTCATAAAAACTATTAAACACATTTTCAACGAAATAGGTTAATGTGTAGAATTGAGATCAACAGTAATCCGATCGAGTAATTTCCACCCTTTTTTTAATTTTCACTCCCAGCGAAATGGTTGAGGCTTTGTTCTCTGGCATTGACGTTTCATATTTGACATACACTTAACGGTAAATGCATGACTGTAGTGCCTCTCCCTGTTCCATCACCATTACATGTTTTTTAAACAGAGAGTCGATCACATAAATGTACCAATCCCTCAGAAACGCCTCTCGTGATATTTACCATCCACTTCTTCCATTTACAAAACATACCTGGCCTTCTTCCACAATCCATGTGAGAATCTATCCCGAAACGTTGCTCTATGCAATAAATAAGAAGTTGTTGTCCGTAGAGTCTTATGCTTTATCATTAATCCATGTCTTTATCATCAATCCATGTCTTTATCATCAGCATCTGTTGCGGTACTTGGTCCAGGTAACGTGGATCGATGGTCCCATGTTACAGGGTCTTGGCGAGTTTGACCAATCAATAATATAGATATAACAAACACGACATAGTAATGTCCTGGTGAGTTCTGGATGATATTCAAGATATGTTCACTGTTAGTTTAGAAATATTTATTATATATATCTAACACTCGTGACGTAAACGAAAATCTGACATAATAACTCGGGAGTCAGTCACAATTATTACGTTAAATCACACAAATCAGCGTGACAGTTGTCAAAATTCTGGATCTGAAAGGGACTTGCGAGGGACGTACAATGACATAAATAAACTGCCGGTGAATGAAACTATACACTTGGAAAATGGATTTTACTACAAAATTACAAATGTTATTGAACCCTTGCTAGACTGCAGAAAGTCACAGAAACTGTAAACATTAACGTCCAAAATACAGCAAACCCTTTTTTTTATTAATTCTCGTTTGTTTCATTTTTTTCCGCCATAAACATAGGTCTGTACTTTGAAAGGATTCTTATCCCTGGTGATTTAGGTAAATGATTAAGTTTAAACTGTAAAACCATGTTAATTTGCTGGAAATCATTTCACAATAATAACGCAATCGATACCGAAAGTAGCACCTTGGTATGATCCTTAGGATGGTAAATGATATTCCATAGACCCTGTTAATCTGGAAGATTCGTCCAGATTATCGAGGGTCAGGTTTATAAACGCTGGAGAACGTGAACTATGCTGCTTCAAAATGGATGCCGGTACTTTAAAACATAGGCAGACAAATCGTGCACCCGTTCAGGGAACTAAACTAGACATAGGCGGGGCGAGCTAACGCAGGGTCCACTAGGCCATGCTGTATTGTGGGTGTCCATAATAGCGAGGTCAAGAAGGAGTTATATTTGAAAGAGACATGTCATCATATACGCACGTTATATTTTGTGACTCGCAAAAAACCGTAAAATCTCCGCTTAAGTGTGACGTTAGTACGATCTTAGTGGAACTGGGGTTAGATGTTAGTAAAAAAGGACTTGACATTCATTTGATGTGCTACACGGGGATAACGTTACGAGATGTGACTTTGTAGAAAACTGGCAGTCTCATACATATATGGGAAATAAATATGTCTACAATTGCAAACAAAGAGAAGTTTAGACTTTAAACATGTAAAGGACAATGACCTGCATGACAAATTGTGTCAAACAGACATCTATTCCGACGTTGAGTCACCTCTACGTATACAGCCTCACTTACAACACGCGACTGATTGAAGCACAATCATAAATATGTATTGATTGCTTCCAGACGTTCCTGCTTATTTAGCTACTATATAAAGTAGCCCAGATTGAAATCCTTCTATATGGATATGCCTACTTTATATTCCGGTAGTAGGGTTACTTTACATAGCAACCGAGTGAGTGAGTGAGTGAGTATGGTTTTACGCCGCTCTCAGCAATATTCCAGCAATATCACGGCGGGGGGCACCAGAAATGGGCCCATGTGGGGATTCGAACCCGGGTCTTCGGCGTGACGAGAGGACGCTTTAACCACTAGGCTACCCCACCGCCCAACTGCAAACCAACTGCAAACCTCATGCAGATGGGTTGTACGAGGATCATGCATCAAATTGATGAAAAGCATGTGCAAATATCGTGCATGTGAACAGCTGCGTTGTGGTGTAAAGTTTTGTTGAGAATTCGAGTTTCGCCATTTATTGAACTCATGACAATAATCTTTTCAACGTTACGAATTTGTTTTACAATACATCAGTTCATATGTAAACAGTACCTTTAAACAGAATTGAATATTTTGCACAATCTAGTTTAGAACAGCTGACTGAAGTAAGTGGCTACATTTACACTAGAGAGTCTAAACTTTTTATGGGTAGTATATATTGATATATCGTATATCATGCCACCCTTTTGTAATCACATTATCCGTACATTCGCACAAACGCAGATATTATCTTTAATTTTATAGGCGTTTTATATATTTTTGTTTAATACTATATACACAATCTTTAACATACTTAAACGAATCATCCAGGAAAAGTTTAGATCAACAAAACCGTCACCTTGAGGCCAAGTCAGGTGACATTGTGTTCATATAAGTAGTTATGATAACCCTTGTCAACAGCGTGTCAGACTCGTGGCTACAAAGACTAAGTTTTTTTTTATGACTGTGGATATATTTCTGCCGCGAAGAAAGCTCCATCTTCAACATGATCAGGTTCCAAATCACACAACATGCTTATCTTAAAAAAAGAAATACATATGATCATTTGACAATGTAAGAGCTTTTTGCAAAGACTGTTTCTGTTCTGTTTTGCACCAAAGGAATATTCTTAACAAAAGTTTCCCGTTCAGCTGAAAGAAATTTGCATGTCTTTAGTTAAGTAGACTTTAGGAGATTATTATAGATATCCGTTTGATTAAGTGTTGCTATTGGTAACTCGGCATAATATAAACGATTAACCTGATGTCAAGGTCATATAATTAAATACAATGGCCACTAACAAGTATAGCCTTGTTGAAATAGGCTTAATCTCCGTTCGCCGCTAGGGGCATTCATTCACTCAAGGCAAGGCACCTCAGGTTAATGTTGATATGGCGATCGCGGCCGTTCTAATTAATATGCGAGTTTTTGCAGTCCGACTTGAAATACGGGATCGCTCATGGACACTTTTCTACAATGCCTATAAAATGGCACTCCTAAAACACATACCTGTCTGTTAGAAGTCGTGATATTAAAGAGCAGCGATTGGGAGTTTTAACAGTCTCCCCGTGCGTGCTACGTCACATTGATTTTGTCGTCTGCTCACTCTCTCACAAGGCAGCCGACAGTCGCAGGGAGCAGACGATATTTGTCAACGCTGAGGCCGCCTTATTTGGAAACCTGTCCGACCGGTCGGCTCATGGTAGGACCTAAATAGCATAGTAAGTCGCTAGCGCTTCGATGATACGCATTGCTTCACACCGATCTCGGGGACAGTCGCGGCTAGGACATGTAGACAACATGGCTGCCACCAGTGACACACCTTCAACCGTGTCCCCAGAATGGGAGACGGATTCAGTGACTTTGAAGGAGTTTTCGTCCAAGAAAACCTTCCCCACATACGCCAAGATAGTGAAGGGTTCCTATATGAATATAGGGTCGTCCAAATTCTCGCTACAGCGTCAGCATCAAGAGGTTTTCATTCACTCAATCAAAATGGGGGTGAAGGTGCTAGCTCATTGTGTACGTCGGATAGATACTACCCAGACGAGAAGAGGCTTTCCTTGTACCCGGCTACAGACTCTAGACCAACGATTAGCTATCCCTGTGTCGTACCAAGGATGGTTTGAACTTCTTTCCGAGGATGGGAAATCAGCTAAACCTTATACCAGTGTACCCGAGCTGGCTAAGACGTTTCCAGAGAAGTGTTTAGTACGAGAGAACGTGAAAGCATATTTGGCAAGCTCGGAAGGGAAACATACGTTTGATAAAACCCGTATTGTGCCTGCTGGGGAACAACTGACGTTGTGTGGGGAGGTGTCGCTCCCATCGCCAGCTCATAACAAACGTGTGAAGCTGCTCAAATGTACGGACTCAAAAGGTGAGAGTTTATATCTCAGTTTTGATCAAAAGGGAATATTCACCCCGATCGCTGGGCCGGACGAGTTCACCGGCGTGTTTACAATTCGAGATATCATACGGAGGTTTCGTCTACCGTTGACTGTGAAACTTATTCAGGGGGTGAAACCAAAGGTTGATTCCTCACGATTCACCGGATTAATACGTCTGGACTGGGTGTATACCGACGAAACAGCTTTCGTTTGTCCTTTGGAAAAGACACATGTACGTATGTTACCAGTGCCTACAGACATAAACCTAATGATATCCAAGGCCAAAAATCAATCTGATATCAAGGATACTGAAGCATTTAGGACTTTGTTGACAAAATGTAACCGCATGGTGTCCAACTACAACAATACTATTCATCTGATCGTGTCACTTCCGGATTCGGTAGTAAAGAACAAAAACCGTTCCAGTTCAAATGTTTTCTCGGTTCCTCAACGATTTGACAACAAGGAAACTAGGTCAAGTTTGAGGAGATCAAAGAGCAAAGAGGATATGTTAATGGACGAAATTGACGATCTTTATCAGTTTGTCAGGGATGGTGGACCAGCTCCGAAATCCAAGTTTACTTATGATTCAGACGAGGAAAGCTACTGGGAGGAACCAGCTTATGAACCTATTGACCAGTTCCGTGCAAGGCTTATGGCTCTAGAAGCTGGCAAACCGTTCACCCACCATGAAAAATACAAACCAACAGATCCAGCCAAACTTCATCTTGACAACGACCCCGACGTTGGTGCAAGTGGTGGACCTATATATGGTCAGCTTACAAATGGGGGCTCAGACAGTTCGTCCACCCCGTCCGCTCCTCCTCCTTTGCCTAGAAGATCTCTGTCTGCCGCTGTGGAGGGAGTCGAAGTGGATCAGAAGAAGGGATCTCCCCCTCCCTTACCCCCAAGACAATATGTAAGATCTAACTCTATATCCGTCGTCCATTCAGCTTCTTCTGCTGGTGTCTCTCAAGCAGCAAGAAGTGGAAGTAGTGCAGAGAAGAGCAAAAAGCAATCCAAAATGAAGAAATCACCTTCCAAAGACTCAAAGGACTCCAACAGCAGTAGCAGTGGTGGTCACAGGAAAAGCCTTGGGAGGGACTTTCGTGATTCAGATATCAGTTCTCGAACCAGAGGTTCTTCTGGAGAGCAAGGACATACTAAGAATATGAGAAAACGTATGCAAACATTGTATCTGTAATCGTGAACCAGATATCCAGTGGTATATAAGATACAAGTGATCCAATTCATATATTATTAGTGAGGGAGTTGGGGGTGTATTTCAGGATACGTTTTGTTTGTCTATATAATTTTAGAAAAAAATATCTTCAACTAAACAGTGAAATTATCAAATGACTGAAATGGCACAAAACAATATTATGTTCTTAATACTCATAATTAATGACACAGTTTTCCTGGCAAAATCAGGATGTTAATCAATCTTAGTTTCTCGGGAATTTGAATATGAAAAATCTGTGGTATTCATAAATGCTGGGTACCTTTTTAATCAACTGACATCAACTGAGCAGTAACATGACAAGACTGTATCCACTGCTATGCAAACACTTGCGTGTATCGTCGCGTTTATTGCTTTAAAATATTGTGTAAAAAACACAATATGGATATACACAAACATCTGTGATGGCTCGAGAGACAGCTGTGAATACTTAAGAGCATCCATGCTATATGTGCATGATTGTTTTACGAACTGTATGGATGGACACGGACCTAGGAGATAACCCGTGACACCACCAACGGTGAACCGAATATTGCAATAGGCATACGTGAGCCTTATTTCTGTGATATGTGTAGAATGACGAATGTTTGTGTGTGGTTTCGTCTTCCAGGGGTCATATCATGGCCAGTGTTGTCTGCGTCTGATACGAAGAGCTGTAGCTCACCTGATTATTTATATATTCACCTAAAGGTCCCTCTACAGTCACTCGATTGTCGGGTAGGACTGTCGAATCGAACTGAATGTGTTTTAAAGCTGACAAGCGATTTGAGCGTTGTTGCTTGGATAACAATATGTTTTATGGCATGTGTTATACCTACCCAGCATTGGATTGAAGGTTCATGGGCTTGTGTTTTGACGATGTCATGGCATTTTTGTTTTTCGTTAGAGTCATATTTATGCAACGAAAAATTGAGATAAAAGAAATATATCAAACATGTGAGTATGTTTTGTATTTACAAAATTTTCTCTTGTAAACAGTATATTTTGTTAATAAAACACAGCTGATTTAGAAACAGCAATATGTAACAGCTTACGTGGTATATTTACAGTGTTGAAGTGTTATATGGCTATTACCAACTACAGTGTACCTTAAGTGTGCTAGAAAACTTTGCTCGGGATTTCGAATAACAGATTCACATTCATCATGTGTAGGTTTGTCAGTCCAATTCTCGTACTAGTCGGTTTAACCACACTGAAAAAGGCCTTATATACACGACAACAACGGGGAATGACTAGTGATTCAATACATGGCTGGGCATACCACACCAGGTGTTCGCGAAAAGCATTCCAAAGGATAAAAGGGTAAAACATTCTTAATATATGTATTCTGAATGTTGATGTATTGTCATTTATACATGACACTTTTTATAGATAACAAGTTACTTCTATTTATTCTTTATACGACATTTCGAGGCTGTTTTGTTTTCTCCTTCATCGAGTGAATGCTGAGTCAGTGGCTAGAGTAGATATGGAGATAAAACATGTTTACACTACTGTCATTTATTATTATTTTTGAAACATACACACACGGAACATAAACACACCACTTGTACTTGTCCCCTCTCAGTGTTTCTTTTCTCACGCTTAGTACATATGAGTCACACAAATGTGATTGTGATGTATAACACTTAAGGGCAATCGCTTCCCACGTAATTGTAATATATTCCAAATGACCCACCCTTGTCACGGGGGTGTTAAAGACCTAGGTATGGTTTTCAAGTCTACTTTAAACCTTTGCTGTCCAAGGAAAGCGTAACCGAATAACTTGGAGCTCTTTTTAAGGATATGGTCTCTGAAACATTTCAACAAAGCGTCTGAGAGCGTTTGCCATAGACGTGCCTTGAATTCACTGGGAGAGGTGTGAGCGGTTCTAACAACGATAAATGTCAGCAGACAATACAGAAGGTGGCTAGGGTCACCCCGTTCTCGCTATATCAATAACGTACCTACATTATGGTTTCCGAATAACGAGATATGCTTCGTTGAGCAGAAAATAACAACAAACGGAACGTTGTTTAAGCATATTTTTATCTTCCAAGGAATGAATAATGCAAGAAGGCTATAGGAAAGTAAGTAAATCCCTTTTTGACAAAGTAAACCTGATTTGATATTTCTAAATCTAGGTTTGCTATTATAAATCCCTTATGAGCTGACATCAGTGTTCCTGGTGTAGTGTTATGGGCATTATTTAGCAATTTGAGGATATGGTCACTGCTTTCTGATAACGAACGTTGTAGAACTAAATATTATTTTTTGTTACAGGTTAATATCAAAACTCACTCAGTAACTCGTATAGATGTTACTCTGAAACCAGATATAACTGGCAACAACCCTCACCTAAACCGTTAGCACCTTCTACAATCTCTTCTGGACGTGTTTGTCAATATGAAGAACATATTGATATCCAGCTTAAAGAAAAAAAACAAAAAACCTGCCTTCTTTAAGGGAAAAATATGATCCGTTCATAAAACTCATTTTTCTTACACACATAGGAATGAAAAAAGGAATTACAATAATAATGATCAAGCAATTCTTGCACCGAAGGTTAACAGAGGGCTTTACATTACAATCGATAGTTGCCGACAATACAACCATAATGCGATGTACGATCACTAACCCGTATATGTTATATATAGAAATACAACATTATGACCAAACTACCATTGATCTCACATTGGATTTAGTTTACACGCCTTGGCTCACTGACCATTATGTTGTGGTTGAGTAATTTTGTTAAGGAGATTTAATTGCTGATGTGTGCGGTTAATTTGACAAGTGAATGTCGAAACATGTCACAACACGAACTATTGTTAGTGTATAAACTCTTTCCTTGTTCTAGAATCATTTGGTAAGGTTGAGGCAGATTACTTACATTAAGACCATTGTTTCTACCGGCTGTCCAGGCTGCTCATGTACTTTTAAAAGCACGTTGGTTTCTCAGGTTTCAATCGCCTACATTCTTGGTCGCCATGGTAACTCATAATATTTTTATTGATGGTTCAGCACCATATACTTCAGAATTAAAAATAGATGACAGGATACGTTGAATATTGAGGGATGAAGGAAGGTTCATCATAGAAACATATTTGTAACGAAATGCTCGCCTGTTTTTATATGTGTTTTACGTCTCGTGTGTAATCAAATAACTGCAATTACGTCCTACTTTGGATGACGCAATCTGTCACCTTAATGATGTGTGAGGTGACCAATAAGAACGACGAAACACTTTGCTGCTTGGAGGATGTGCAGTCAAAATGTGCTACTGTACTGTAAAATATAATTTTCAGATGTCTAAAGGAGTAATACATTTGAGTTTTTCACAGTAAAGATAATGAGGATAAGAGGCCAAGGTGAAAAATATTGCATCAACTCTGGATCTGCTTCTTTGGAATCTACAATAAATGTAATTTAGGTGAAATATTTCATTACTTGAATATAATGTACATTGTACCCATGTGGGGAATCGAACCCGGGCCTTCGGCGTGATGAGCGAACGCTTTAACCACTAGGCTACCCTAGCGCCCCAACCTGTATGTGGAAGGAACGGTATGTCAGTGTTACCCGCAGTTGTGTTAATCGATTGTGTCTTAGCAGCAATTTGGTATAATACGGACATTGTTTTGTTGGTTTTATTGCAACAAAGGTCTACAGGCTGACATGTGACCACTGAACTGATACATAATCAGCTTTTACTGAGAGGATCACTGCAGCTATCGCACAGATATGAATATGAGTTTATTGTGTACCAAATTTGTACTTATCTTAACTTAAACGATTCTACCATAATTGTATTGCTTGCATTTCAATTTGGAAACATTTCGATTTTAAACCAAACACATGAAACATTCCAAGACTAACTTGATATTGTTGTTTTAACACCTTCACTAATAAGAACTGTGTGCATGTTCATGAAACAATATGACTGCAAAGAGCTATGTAATACACTTTAATATATAGTAATACAGTATAATATTTAATGGCCTTCTATCTGTGAGGTAGTAACTAAAATAAATATCATTTGCAGGTTTATGACTTAAATAAGCCACGATTTGAAAGTATATCTGTGTGTGTGTACCTTTACGGTTACCTCCATTTACTTAACTCGGAGGAATACTTCGTCTCGCCAAATATAATCGTACTCTGAAACCAATTTAAAGTTTAAGAGGCAGTTTTCTATAGCATCAGATGACCCATGTTTCGAACCTGCCCAATAACAAACAGCAAGTGAATGTTCACTTGCGTTTATTTTGGCAAGGTTAAAGAAAAGTTAGCCGTATCTGCACACCTGCCAGGTTGTCATGGAAACGAGGGGTTCTAAGGTAAACAAGTGTTGCTGAGTGTTGTTTCTTTAAAAATTGTTTGAAATGTAAATACTAGCGAGTCGACAGAATATCTAGCAAGGGGCGGCTCTGTATGGGTAAATTCGCCTGTAAACATTACCTGTTTGTGTGTTGCGTGGCGACAACAAGGAGGAGAATGCAGCTACATTACCGTAGAATATCCTAAAAATATTGGAAAAACAGTAATCAACTGAACATGTAATCCGCACTTACTTTTTGAAAGACCCAAAACAACTCAGTGTATGTGTCTTTGTTGTTGTTTTAAATTGCCATCAGCAATGTTGCAGCTATACGATGGCGGTCTTACATTGGGGTCTGGACCAGACTTTCCAGTGACTGACATAATACGCATCGATCACAGGATCCGATGACATGCATGATGACATACATGAACCAAGTTCTAGACCTGGTTACCCGATTCCGTTTAAAGATCACATGTCATCTGACAAGGAGCATATGTGCTGGTATGTACGTAATAATTAGATTGTCTTCCTTTGATGAAAAGGATAGGCAGTTTGAACATTCGTCCATCGCACTTTAGACAATTTTAACCATTGAATGAATGAAAAGCTAAAACGTATCACCACCAGCAACAAGAAATGTTTTGAAACTTATTACTCGCCCGTGGAAGATACTGCAGTGTAATATTTTTACGGCAATATTACACTAGTGTAATACCGCTAGCCATGTGACGTCATAATGGTTTATAGTTTTGACGTCACAATGCTAATACCACTATCACAATGGTCATCACACTGTAGGCAGTTTCTATCAATTTATGTTGATGGGTAATAAACAGAATACTAAACTCGCTTCCGTGAAATACCATTTTTATCAAACTCGTGAAAGATTTAGTATCAAACTCGCTTTCACTCGTTTGATACCAAATCATTAACTCGTTTAATAAAATGGCATTACACGGAAGGCCGTTTAGGCCTCTATATATATTACATATATATTCGAAGTGTTTCATCTGAAATATGAACTAATACATTAAATCTAACGTTCATAATTCTAATTGTCATTGGTCATTGCCAATCAAAACCACACATTGTATTTGTTAGCTCTGTTTCGCTCTGGTGAATGTCCAGACCTCAAACTACTGCATGTGAATAACATACAAATAGTGAAACTTTTGATAGTGAAGACCTTAATAAACCAATCTCAAGAAGTGAACTTTTAAGAACAGTACAGGCTATGAAAAATAATAAAGCTGCAGGAATTGATCACCTACAAGCAGAAATACTAAAGAATGACACTAGTGTTGATACTTTGCAGGGAATGTTTAATATTATGTTTGCATCAGGTTTGGTCCCCAAGATGTGGAGAAAAGGCATTATTACTCCTATACCTAAACCAGGATGTGATGATCCACGTATACTAGTACCCTCGAATTACAGAGGAATAACATTATTGTCAGTACCCTGCAAGATCTATGCCAAAATTCTGAATACAAGACTGTCCAACTGGTTGGAAGAAAACAACATGCTTAATGATCTACAAAATGGATTTAGAAAAGGGAGATCTTGTCAAGACCACTTACTCTCCTTAACGAAAATTCTGCACAACAGGAAAATTTCAAAGCTATCTACA